TGTTACTAGTAGCCTCTAGCTACTAGTAGTAATGCCCTTGTTACTAGTAGCGATGCCCTTGTTACTAGTAGCTTCTAGCTACTAGTAGTATTGCCCTTGTTACTAGCGGCGATGCCCTTGTTACTGTAGTAGCTAGCTACTAGTAGTAATGCCCTTGTTACTAGTAGCGGTGCCTTTGTTACAATGCCCTTGCTACTAGCAGCAAGGCCCTTGTTACTAGTTGCTTCTAGCTACTAGTAATGCCCTTGTTACTAGCAGAGATGCCCTTGTTACTAGTAGCTTCTAGCTACTAGTAGGATTGCCCTTGTCACGAGTAGCGATGCCCTTGCTACTAGTAGCTTCTAGCTACTAGTAGTAATGCTCTCGTTACTAGTAGCGATGCCCTTGTTACTAGTAGCTTATAGCTACTAGTAGTAATGCCCTTGTTACTAGCAGCGATGCCCTTGTTACTAGTAGCTTCTAGCTACTAGCTAGTAGTAATGCCCCTGTTACCAGTATCGATGCCCTTGTTACTAGTAGCTTCTAGCTACTAGTAGTAAAGCCCTCGTTACTAGTAGCTATGCCCTTGTTACTAGTAGCTTCCAGCTACTAGTAATAATGTTCTTGTTGCTAGTAGCGATGCCCTTGTTACTAGTAGTAAAAAGTCACTGACAGAAAGACATGTATACTACTGACTAGTAACTTAGGACTTGTCGGACATACACGCCAATTCCAAAAGCCTATGTCATCAGGATTGACCCAACATTGGCATTTCCTCTTAAGGCTTATGTCATCAGGCCACAACCATGATATTCATAGAAATATGTATGAGGTATTCAAGGCGCCCGCAAAAACACATAGTCGCACCTTATGTCACCACTGAGTCACCAGGGTGCCAGGCAGTGATATCTAGCATTATTTAGCTGTTTTTTTTTGTCGAGGAGGTGTCCACAGGTCCTATGACACCAGGTTTCCCAACCCAGACATTTTTTTTGCTCGATATGTCAGGGCACATGACTTAGTCCTGCGGGTAGCCAGATTGGTATGTCACTTGCATCACGTTGGCCTAAGTCATTAGACAGTAGTATATATATAATTTAAAATGTCGTGCTCCTGTGTTCCTGCCCTAGAGACACCTGCTAGTGTACAGGCCAATGCATGTCTAAGGATATAGTGCTCCGGGCAGTCATGCAGAATGGCTCTATGCTGGACTGGGAAGTCATTGGATGAACAAACATCCAACATGTACAGCGTAGGTGTCTCAACGCGCTTTGATGAGTGTGTTGCTCGGACTAGTTGGAATGACGACTTCATATAACTATTCAGGTACCTTTGATCAGGGTGACTGAGCAGTCGTTTTGAGCAGTCTATGCTTTTGTCCCTTCAGCCTTCTCCGTAGTTCAAATTCAGGAGCACGCGTCAGCGGCGTTGCGAGGCGACCGTGAGGCAGAGCAACGAGCTTGCACAATGGCTGTGAGTGGAGCACCAACCCTAACTAGCACCAACAGTGGCTACAAGCTTCCGTGAACGTACTCCAGGTGGTCCTTTGCGCACTGCATGCGGCTGGACGGGTGCTTCACTACGCTGCGATTGAGCTTAAGGTCACCCTCTGCATTTGTGTTTGAGTCGCAAAACAGGTTCGCGCTCCTGCCCGCAATTGCAGGCAAAAAAGGAGGCAGCATGAGGGAATAACTATACTAATACAACCACGACCCAGAGTTGTATGTTTCCCCTGTTGGAATTTCTCACACCTCCTAGACCCTTTTGCTATGCAAGGTTTTCCATGCTTTGAGCTTTAACTGGTCAATTTCCAAGACTACTCTACAGAGTCTACAGTCTGTGACTCTCAGGTTTGAAATCCATGCTCAGCTCAGAGTGCCAGGCCAGCGTTGATGTGTTGCTACCACTTTTGGACCTACACGCCACAGTGCTGCGGGCTGTGTCTGTGGAGCTGCAAAGCGACCTGGAGATCATGAACCTTGCCAGGCCGACCGAAAGGCAAAGCAACGTTGGTCGACCGAAGAAAGAAAGACTGTATCTCCGACAACCTCCAGTATCCAAGTTCTTGCGTCCTGTGAAGATGAACTACGAAAGAAGAAGTACTATCTCCCTCACAAAGGGCCTGGCAAATTCTGCTTTGTACTGTAGCAGGCAAAACATGGAGCGAACACTGGCTGAAGGGGCAGTGGAGTTGAAAGAGGCGGGGGGGGAACTCAGAAAGATGGGACAGATATCATAGACTATAGACAACGCTTATTATGTTTTTGATAAAAGGTGAACCAAGAACTACTCAAATGCATGAGTCCCAGCCGCCTTTTTCCCTCTCCGTATGTTAGTTTTTAGTTTTCCAGGTGGCCAACTGTTATGAGGGCCTTTAGGATATTTTGGTCAGGATCTTGAGTACATCTAAGCCTCATTGACTTCTTTGATTCTGGCGTGTTTGCCAAAAGCTCACCGCGCAGATGCCAGCCACCAGGATCCTGAGATCCTCAGGACCATGGTCAAGCAACATTGCGGCTTGGTTTGGCTCCAGCTAGCAAAAGTACTTTTCTGGCTCATGCGTTGTCTCTTTTGTCGTCTTTGATTTGTCATGTCTTTGGACAGTCGGACTGGTTTGACTTTTGACGTTGCTGACCAAAGGCGTTCGACACTGCTTAAGGCTGGGATGTTCTACAGTGTCCACCACGCTGTGTCCAGAACAAAGAGGTGCAAACAGCGGAGGGGCCATGTCCGCAAGATCAAAGAACAACCAGACAACCCCACATGTCAAGCTTTTCTGCGCATCAGAAAGCGGAACAAGCAAGCGGATGTTAAAGGAGTGATAGCGGATGAGGTGAGACGGATTGGAGGGTGTGTGTCTGTGTGATGTTGGTGTTGCGTCATGTAGCAGCTTAACAGCATCAATCTCGCAAAGCGTTTTCAGTTTTGGAATTTTGATATCCTTTATCATGCTGTTGGGTTTGTGTGAGTTGAGTTGGTTTGAGTTGGCTGAGTTGAATTGGTCCGAGTTGAGTTGGTTCTACGTGCACAACAGCATCAATCTCGCAAAGCATGTGCGGAATTTTGATGTATAGTATAGTATGTATATATATATATTAAGTGTTTCACTTTGTGTGAGCTAGGTTGGTGTGAGTTGAGTTGAGTGAGTTGGTGTGAGTAAGTAGGTGTAATTAAGTGAGTTGATGATGTGAACATATAACTTGATGTGAGTGAGTCAGAATGAGTGAGTTGCAAACTGACAGACATTTCCTAAACGCGGACGCAAACTCCTGTGGCATTAATCGGATGTAACAATGTGAAACCAAGCCATCTTCACACCGCTCACCAGCCACACGCTGCGTGTACACACCGGTGTTTTCCGTTCCCCAAGGTATGTGTAAGTGGGTGCTAGTAAGTTGGTGTGGGTAAAGTGATGTGACTAGGTGGCCCACGGCACATAGACGGCCGTGGGCTTTTCTTGATTTTTGGTGAGTTTTGTTTTCTACAATGCTACGTGTGGGAATGGGGTGGGGTGAAAACCATGTTAAACACGTTACTTCAACGAAGTTTTCTAAACTCAATTTACAGCAGTATAAAAACTCAAAAATTATCACACACAATTCACAACAGACTACCACATAACCTCATTTATTTTTCAAAATCATAACTACTAACCATCTGGTACCTCATTCATTTTTCAAAATCATTACAGTGAATACATAACTATCTCATTCATTCCACAAAATCATTACTACTAACCATCTATTACCTCATTCATTCTTCAAAAATCATAATTACTAACCATCTATTACCTCATCCCTTTTATTGAAATCATAACAGTCAATACATCATCACCTCATCCATTCCATACCCAAAAAAACAACCAAACAACGAACAACAAAACAAACCAAGCAAAGAACAACATAAAAGAAACAAAACAATAGACAACAGTATTGCATAACCCCTCACCTTTAATAATCCTATCTTACAAACCCATAATTCTAATAGATATATTATTTGAAATATGTTAGTAGTAAATGTCTTCAATAACTGTCAACTTAAAATGAAAGGCTTGTATTCCTATTATACTATCTGTATCTTGGTATCCTTTAATAGCGGTTTTTATTTCTTCAACTGCTTTATGTAATAATGCATCTATATTATCTTCATCTACATATTCATCAAAGTCATTCATACAGTAAATCTCTCTATAGCTACATTCATTTTTCCATATTCCTTTTCTGGGAGTTTTGCCACCAATTGAACTTCAATATCAAGTTTAACTCTATAAATAAAACATCTTCTACTTCTTCATAAATCAAAGATAGTAATTCTTCTTGTTCTTCTGTTATTATGTCTTCTATACTTGTCAAACTAAATGACACTCCCTCTCTTATAATACAGTATTCAATTTTGTATATCTTTTTTATTGATTTCAAATGTCTTGTCATTTTAGGACCAAGTCTCGAAATCTTGTATTTGTTTTGTATTCTCTTCAATGCTTCACTATGTTTTATTTTCACATATTCAGGTTCTCCATGAGTATATGATACAATATTACTCAACACATTTACTGGCAAATCCTTCATACAATCCATCCACTAATATACTTAACTGACTAACCTCTTTAAGTAACTATTCTAAGATTAATATAAGGCATTCTTTTGGAAAAACTACTTAAAGATAGATTACGTAAATAAAATATATTGCATTGGGTGTTGTTGAAACGTAGTGGAACCACGAAGATATGTCTCCTTCTCTTCCGAGCTGTTGGCTGAGAGGCAACTGTGAGTTACCCCCCCGCCACTCCAATGTGGGTGGCGGGGGGTGTAGACCGTGAACGGTGGTTTAGGCATAGATTCCACCGCGGCGATGTAGTGGAAGGTGCGACCCGCGACAATGACGGACGCGCCCAGGGCTACATCATCATAGAGGTGATCGAGCCGATTTCCACCGATGACAAGGGTCACTGGGTGAGCGCCAGGTTCGTGTGCGCAAGTGACCCCCACATGAAGTGGTGGATGTCTGAAGGTGAAGGAAAGAGGTTGGTGACAAGGTGCTCGTATCACTTCTGTGAAGCCGACTGCACCGCCTCAAGGCGTGGAGCATCCATCCATGTGGAGAAGTTCAGAACCCTGATGCAGAAAGAGATGGACAACCAGGGGCAGGGTGGGATTCGAGAAGGGCTCAAGTAAGGACTACCTGGCCTTCGAGAGGGACATGGAGCCTGGCGCCAGCTGCGTGGGTAGATCCAGGTGAGGAAGAGTCAGAGGAGGACGAGGAGTTGTCGACTGACGAAAGCTCGGGCAAGAAGGGCCTCAAGGCAAAGTTGATGAAGGCGCGGGATGCAGTTAAGCGCCTCAAGGAGGAATTGACGGAGAAGAAAGCCCCTGCTAAAGGTTCCAAAGCCAGAGACAAGAAGGGAGCTGTGAAGAAGAAGAAGAAGAAGAAGAAGTCTTCGCCGGAGGCTAGAAAAGTGCGTGCCCATGGTCGAAGGGGTGACGTCAGGGACACGGTGAAGAAAAGGAAGAAGCGTGCAGCTTCACCCTCCCCTGAAAATGTCAAGGCTAAGGCCAAAGATGACTGGGCTCATGAGAAAGAGACCCGTGAGGGCAAGGGCAAGCGAAAGAAGGCCATGGAGTCTTCGTATTACAGTGAGGATGAGGATGAGGGCCTCTTTGGTGAAGCAGGCGCTGCCAGCACCGATGACCGCAAGGCCAAGGGCCGTAAGGATCGGGGACCGTTTGGACGTTTGGATGTGGCGACATTGTCCGCTACCAAGGTGAATCATTCAGTGATTCCGAAGCAGTTTTTCGCGAAGCCCCCGCAGCTCCAAAGGCATCCAATCAGCTCAAGCTGATGCAGTACGCGAAGAAGACGCCGGGCCGCCTAGCATCAAGGCTTCTTGACAGAAGGGGCCCAGGGAGCTGTGGGGGCGAGCGCGATCGAACGGGGAGGGCTGACCCCGCCCTCAGCGGTGCACTACTTCCACGCGATGATCGTACCCCAACTAGACCCGTGGTTGGGCATGAGGGCGCATCGCGAGATGAGGACTCTGTGCACCGCATTGGACATGCTGGCCTGCAAGTTACCGGCTCACGCAGCCGACGTGATAGGGCAGAGGTTAAAGGCCATCGAGAAGAGCAGTCACGACGGGGATTGGGGCCGCTCAGTATCTGGGAGGAGGAGCCTGGGCTGGGGCACGGGTCTGAGGACCCTTGGACTGTCCACCCAGACCCCTGATCTCATGGATGATGTTTTCTCCATGTCCATGTTGCGACTCCCTGCTTCGAGGCGACCGGGCATGGACGCACTTGCATCAAACACTTCTTTTCCTGTCTTCGCATACTGGAAAGTAGTGCGGGAACGCGCTTCAGCCAGACTTGCCCTTTGCAGGGAGCAGTGGAGGTGGACGCGACCTTCATTGGAAAGTATCATATGGCGGCAGACAACATGTGGCACCTGGATCAGATTCGGAAGATTCAACAGGGATGGATCCGCAAAGGAGAAGGTTTGCCGAAGTCCTGTGTGCGCCACATTATGGTTCTGGGAGCGCAGCCACACGCTGGTCTGTTTGGGTCGCTCATGCTCCTCGGCTGCGTGTTCACCGTATTCTTTGAACAGTGCTACCACGCCTGCTCATGAGGTCACTCCAGCGGGCCATCGTCCTGTCACTGAGACACTAGCTCAAGTTGAAGCGTGCGGTTTTTTGGACCGTGTTTCCGGCCGCAGTGTCATCTGCCCAGATGGCAACAAGGCTTGGCAATCCGCGGCAGAAGCTCGTGGGTTGCCGCTGCAGTCAGTTGTCCACCAAGTGAAAAATTTCACTTCTCAGTGTCCGACTGTTTACAAAGATGTTTCGAATGTCGCAGGCACGCAGATGCCCGATAGAAGCTGGCAGAGTTTAAAGCCTTTTTGCCGGCCAACCTAGTTGTGAAATGCAAAGACAGGAAGCACATTCAAATGCATCCCAGCGTGCCGCAGTGCGTGTACATGTGGGCTTGGCGACAAAGCTTGACATGTGCCACACCGGCTCAGTTCTTGCGCCGCTTGGAGGAGCTCCTGTGAAGAGTGACAAAGTCGCACACATGTCCGACGCCAAAAGTAGTTGCGTAGTTTCGAAATGCTTCGAAATCACCATTCTGATTTTATCCAAATCTGCATGGAATTCACGATGATTCCAATGATGAAGTGTCGCTCACATCACTCCTTATGGAATTACGCATATTTGAACTTGATTGCCCCACGACCGTCCTTGATTACCCCACCACCGTCTATGCGCCGTGGACCTAGTTTGGTGTCTTTGTATTTTTTTGTGTTTTGGAGGCCACGCTGCGAATGCGGCATTGCGTAAGCTTCACGTGACAGCTCTATCACGGCTCTAGTGTTTTGGAGATTGACTCCATGGACTGTGCACCTTGCAACGTTCATTGCCCTCAAGCCTCGGAGCCCAATCAGTTAGCAAAAAGTTGAAGCACAGTGGTCCCATCACAGGGCTCCGTGCTATGCTCAACCGCTCTCATCGTGGTCATTTCGCTGCTTCGGACCGCCTAGACCAAGGTGATCTGCGACTCAAACCAGGCAGGCGTGTGATTGGGGGGGGATCCCCATCCTCACACGAAAACCAACCATCGTGTGAAGTGCCATGTCGCTTCAGTGCGCACGAAAATGACAAGCTTTGTCTCTTCCCAAAGTGCGCCACCCCAGAGATTGGAGTGTACTGGACCTCCTCTATCGTGATACCATCATTCAGGAACCTAGGCACAGTGAGGTGGTTTGAGATCTCGACACGAGCGGCCACCTTGCGACCATGTCCACCAAATGGCAAAGGATGAGATTTGTCAAGTTGAGCGCGCAGCACAGAAGGAACATCGGAACATGTGAAAATGCTGCAAGCATCCCTGAATCGAACTGAGTAAACTGGTGTGAGCAAGTTGGTGTGTGTGAGTTGATGTGAGAAAGTTGGTGTTTGGAAGTTGGTTGGCGTGAGCGAGTTGATGTGAGTAAGTTGGTGTGTGTGTGTGAGTTGATGTGAGTGAGCAGCGGGAGCGGCGGCAGGAGGAGCGGGACAGCCCCGTCATAAGTAAGCGCCCCACACTAGCATGTGGGGCAGCATTTAGATGTTGGTGTGGTTCAACAGGTCTACTCAGTAGGTGTTTGGATAAGTTGCAACAACTACCTTGTCAGTAGCACTGAAGGCAGTCTGGTTGGCTTCTTTCCTGACCAAGCATTTTGGGTTCTATTCTATTTCTGTTGGAGGTGTGCGCAGCCTGGACACACGCAGCGAATGAGATGGATGAGGAATGACTGCTTGTATTGGAAGCTGGCAGAACGTTTTGGAAATCATCAGAACTTTCAGACTCAAATGCATGTCCTCAGCAATGTGGAATTGGCAATTGGTTGTTTGGGATTCAGGGACTGCCACGGGAACAAAAATGAAGGCTTTAGGGGCCTCTCGAGTAGTAGTTGTGATCGGAACCTCAATTGAGTCTTCGTCAGGTCTCAACTTCTTTAGACTGCAGCACGAAGATACAGATGTTCCGACTGGCAGGATCTTGAGATGGAAATGCTTCTCACAGAAGTCCCAAAGCATCTAGCTTAGATGTTGGCATCAGTCACTTCACAAAGGTTCTTATAATTAATATCAAACATTCTAACCATCACCGCGAACTTGTCAAAAGAAACTCAAATTTCATTTAATATGCTCTTTATCGCATCCACATTGAGGTCAAAGCCCAAGCGTCGTCGCTGTGGAGAAAGGGTCTTGCTTTCTCCAGTCGTTTCCAGCCGTTGATAAGTTAAGACGGAACATGATTGTACAAACATGTGCAATCCACAGACTTTGAACCAATAGACGTACCTTGGTCTTAAGCACCCTCAGTTTCTGGAGCTCAAGCAGACAATCTGAGAAAGAAAGAGTGACAAGAGAACGGTTCGAACTCGGGAACCTGGACAAGTGTTTTCGCGGCAGATCGCATGACACCAAACTCACCAACACTTTGGTAAGAAGTAGTTTGTTGTCCAAGCCTTCTTGCCTGAATGAGGCGGTTAAGAATCAAGAAAACGCCTTGGGCTATTTGGTTGGGGTATGTTCCCCCAAGCACAAGGATGTCCTGACGGCCTGACAGACTCGGAGCTGGCTTAGCCTGCGACGAATTTGTTTGCAGGTACTTGATCAAAAGCCCTCTGTGGAGAAAGGCGATTGGGGCTGCACTGGGTTCACCTGGGATGTCTAACGTGGAGACAATAGCAGCTTCATTGACAGACAAGGCCTGATTTGGGGAATGGCAACTTCATAAAGGCGCTTCTGGGGCCTGCGATAGCCTAGGCAATTTGTTTCTAAATGTTTCACACCAGGTTCCTATGCATATGCAAAACAAATCTTTAATTTTGTTCCATATGGCAGGCACTTCGGCACTTGTCGCTGCTCCACCCTCAGAGTGTTTATGATTGCCCGGGTGACCGCGATCAAGTTTAAACGAAGCAGCTATATGGGAGTATATTGGGCTTAGGCTAGAATGCATTACCGATTTAGGGCGGCAGCCTGTTTTAGTCCTCGTGTGGCTGGCTGCTGGTTCTGTCACCAAGTCACATTCTGGGCATGCTTTAAAAAACTGAACAGACTTGAGCATCGATGCTGCCTATTGAACAAAGCACATTGGAGCCTTTTTGCTCAAAGAAAGTGACAGTTCTGACACTTCAATTTACTAAGGGCTCTGACTCTTATACTTCTCAAGTTGGGCAGCACCTTGGCAGCACAGCGACCTTGATCTTCTCAGAAACTCCTGCTCTCCGATTAGGAAAGGGCTTTTCGAATCCTTTCCTTTAGGCGGACATGTTTGCTGTTTGGAGTGTTCTTTAGGAAATCCGGTCTGTGCTGCCTTGCAGGACAGTCTCTGTGGAACCCAGCTCGGAGAGGCTCCAGCAGAGAGCTGAGGACAGGGACGCCTGGTGAAGGATTGAAACACCCGGCCAGCATTTTCTAGAGGCTTCTTGGAACCTCCCTTTTCTCCAAACCGTTTCCGGATGGTGTCTCACCTTGGTCACGCACCAGTCCGGGCCTTCAATGCAAGAAACCGAATCAATTGGGGTTCTTTCTTAGGAAAAGAAGCTGGCCACAGTCTTGAGGCCACTCTGGTGGAGGGGGGCCCGGGGTGCTGATGAATCTGATGACATATGGCTGATGAGACTGTTGGAACTTCTTCAAGCAAACTCCATGCAGGAAAATGGCGAGGAGAAGAGGTGTGAAGATCTGCTCCCCTTGCCACTTGGCTGCGGGTTTTGCAAGAATGTGGGTTCAACGACCGAGATAGAACACAGTCTCAGAATCGTTAGAAATCCACGACAATGTAATCTCTGGCGATCCCTTCGACATTCCAATATATTCCAATGACTCAAGTTGATGTGCAAGGAAAGTGGATTCAGCGAATAGCGATGAGGACAGGAACATTTGGGAAGTCGTGCCATCATGTGCCATCATGTGATTCAGGAACAAGTGCCTTACTAGTAGTAACAAGTGCCTTACCTAGTAACAAGAAGCTACTAGTAACAAGTGACTCTGACTCATGGCCTGTCTCTGGATGTGATCGATGATTTTGCAGGCAGAAGAAGGCGAACTCCCAGACGAGAGTGTGGAGAAGCTCTCAGCGGACGTCGAAGGGTTCTATCCTTAGACTGCTAGGTTTTACTTCGTGACCTGCGACAAGACAAGACCGTCTCCAAATAATAGGGAACTGAGGCCTTCATGGAATTGAAATCAGAGAAAATAACACATTCTGAATCATAACCTCAAGCTAAGACTATTGGCCACTCAGGGATCTATCCGAAGCTGATGACAAGAGCAGCGAGGTTGGGGCGGGGTAGCCAATGCACGCCTTTGTATTTGCAGTTTGTTGTGTTCCCAGTGTCAGATTACAGTTTTGTGTCAAATGTTGGTCCACACCGCGGCAACCACATCCCTCAACTTACATAGCAAGCCAGAGAACGGTTTCAGAGGCCTAGAAAGGAACACACATGCTTCATCATGCTGTCAGGACATCGGAGAGACATCTGAAGAAGCCGAAGACCTGGAAAGTCAAGAGCGCTTTGGCTGCATTGAGGAGCCAGAAGAGCTGGTCTTCCAACCTGATCTCATTCGATTAAATCTTTGGACACCTACCGTTGCACCTCTTGGCTTTGCAAGCCTTTGACCTCATTGTTGAGCCCAGGACTGAAGAGGCTCGGATTTGCTGCAGCTTCCCGTTGTGGATGTCTCCCACAAAGCAGGTTTGATGGAACTGGGGTCATGTTGATAGTTGTTTCAACAGCGTTCTCGCATGTGTCCACTTTCAATAGAGCTGGGGGAATCCCACCAGTTAAAATGCATGACATGCCACGAAGGCAAGGCTTCAATAAAGTTTTTTGGCATTAGATTCCTAGACTTAGAATTCTGCCACAACATCAGATGCTGCTTCTGGCAGGAGGATGAGGAGGCATCAGAATCTGAGGAGCGAATGAGCGACTGACATATATATATATATATAGAGAGAGAGCAAAAGCAGTGCAAAGAAGTGCAAGTATGCCCAGGTCCAAGTCACATAATATATGCATAGCATCGACACGTGAGCAACTCATAGGCCTAGAATTAGTGAAGGATAGCGGCTAGGTACATATCTCAACCACGATTCGTTAGTTTGACGGAGAACTTCAGCCTGGGGAAAAAGATCTATAGACAGAGATGCTTTTGCTACAACCACGTGAGCCTTTGCGCCAAGGCAGCCAAGCCAGGGTTGAACATGGTATGGTTGAATCATTTGAGATCAATTGCTCCTAGGTTGGAGGCCATGGCTTTTAGGTTAGTTTACTCAGGAGGGCGGCGCAGCACCCTCCGAGCCACGGCCGGCCTCGCCCTCCTCGCGCTCCTCACGCTCCTCGCGCTCCTCACGCTCCGTGCTTCGACGTGGCAAGCGGAAACGCTCGCGGGACGAGAGAAGCCAGGAGGCGAGGTCCTTTGAGATTTGTAGAGACAAAGGCCTTCTTGAAAGGTTTTTAGATGTTGCTAGGAAGGTTTCGGCAATTCTAGCTACAAATCCGGATACTACGCACTATGCCCTAAAGTTCATGTTGGCGGAACAGATTCCTAGCATTTTGACTTGCTTGCTTGTCAGCAATGCTTCTCTGCTGTGCTGAATTGACATTCTGACCACGTGCTAAGTTCTTTCCTTGAAAGGTTTTGTTGTTTCAATCAAGCAAGCTTCATGTGGAAAACCCGTCCCAGAACGAGAGGTGAACAAAAGAGGTTGGGGCAAGCGACCACCCCGGCAACTTAGACGCAAACCTTTTTCGCTTTGGTTGAAAGTATTTTGATCGGTTTTGTACAGCTAGTACATAGTATGAATGATGCATTCATATGCATTCCATATGCATGTTCTGCACTGTTTCATATCTACGTCTATTTTTCCCGTCCTTTTTCGTTTGTGTATCTCTCTCTCTCTCTCATTTTTTTCCACACCAGGCCTTGAAACTCGTTCCAAGGTTCATCAGCCTTTCTACCACTGAGTACTGTCAAAATCGAACTGGCGAGACCTTGGTTGTTTTTTCTTGAGTGCAGATACCAAGGCGAGCAGAATGGGCTGGCACCCGTGCTGAGCTGGGATTGCCATCACCAGGTGGCTCGCGACGTCATCGGAGCAGTGGAAGGACTGCACAGTGGCATAGTGATTCAATTGGAGTTGCAAGAATGGAAGCGAAATAATCTCATGCTATGGCAGCCGGGCAACAGGGTGCTGTTCTTCAATTTCATGTTATTTTCCGCACTGCTACATGATTACTTGTACATGAGGCATCTTCACATTTCGCAGACCTTCAGCTTTAACCCTGGTTCATAGTTAGATCATGACCTGAGAATCTGGAGGTGCACCCTGTTGTAGATTTGACTTGTACTAGTGTGGAAGCCCCACCAGAGCCTCAGGAGCCGCAGGAGTCATACCCCACGGCGAGGGCTGAGATCTTTCAGAAGTCGCACGCCACCGGCCCCCAAGCGCTCTAAACCAGGCCGTCAATCCAGGTGGGATGTGAGGCGCGGTCCTTGACGGGGGCTGGCTTCAGATCTGCAGGGTGCGGTTGGGCGATTCCACGTGAATAGATATGGCTAGTGCATTAATCATTAGTGCATTCATTGCTCACTTGTCCTTAGTTCCGCATTGTTTAAGGAGGTTCGTAAGTCGTGCTCAAGGAGAAACCATGGCCGAAGCACCAAATGAATTCAAGATGAAACTGCTGAAAAACCTCCGAACAAGACTCAATCGCGTTTGAGGCCTGATCCGACCGATCCCGAGCAGAAGTTTCTGAGTCAACGTGGCTTGGCCGAGTCTCTACTGCCTGGTGGCAAGAAGCGTCGGGAATGCTATGTGGGCAACCTGCCGCAGAACAAGGCGTGGTGTCGCTTTTGTACAGTCTTGTATGATCTGTCCATCTTCGACCGACTAAACTGATTAAACCACTTGGGGGGTGTAGGCCGTAGAGGACCTAGTAGGAAGAGGTAGCTAGTAGAAGCTAGGTACTGTAGCTAGTACCTTGCTAGTACGCTACTACCTAGGACGCAGGATAGCTCACGCTTCTTCAAGGAAGCTTCCGGGGGAGCTTCCTTGAAGAAGCGCTCGCACCTTGATTACGAAGTATGCGGTGCTGGTTTAGTGGTGTTGCTCGGGCTACGGGGTTCCCCTCAAACACTTCCGCTGTAAAAAACGGTAAAAATCAACATGCCTCTTTTTGTCGCGTTTTTCCTGGGTCGGTCGCCCATTTGTTGACCACACGCGTGGCAAAAATAGCAAAGCACAAAGTTACCGTTTTCTATGTTGTTTTTTGTACTTTTTACTAGAACGCTGTAAACATTTATGGATAAACGCATTGCCTTTTTTACTGCTTTCCACGGGTCTGTGGGAAAGATGCTGTGAAACCGGTAGAAAGCGACTTCCTTTGTACTCGTTTTTTTCCGGGTCCAAACATAATGTATATATATATATATATTATACATACATGTCAATCTTGTTTGATTGACATCCGCGGCTAAAGAAAGAACCATCGGGTTACCTAGGTTTCCATGTTGGAAATGTTTACTGTGTGCATTGTTGCTTTGTTGGCCACATTATTTTACCAAAGGCACGGTGACAACGGTAAACCGTTTGTTGTGGTTCTGTTGGCCAAAAGCTTTTACCAAAGGCGCGGTAAAACGGTAAATATCGAACAAGTTTTTTCTTTACATTTTTTTCCTAGGTCTGTTGGCCAAATTATTCACCAAGGCGGGGTAAAAACAGTTAAGTTAAATATCGAACAACGTATGTCTTGACCGTTTTTTGTGCGGGGGCGTGAGCGGGCACCCCCTAGCAGAACAAAGTGCGTTGAAAAGGCTTAGTGTGGCAAAGCAATCCTTCACTACGGAGAAGAAAA